ACACCCCCCCCCCCCCGCAAATGTTGGCCAGTGCTCCACAGAGGTCTTCCCACAGTCATCACTTCAGTATCGTCAACACTGTTCCACAAATACTTTCTTGCTTACCCTTGCCCACCATGATTTCTTGTTCCAAATCCACACTCTGACGTAGGGTGACCTTTCCTCAGACTCAGGACCCCCACACACAACCCCCTCACTGCACTGCTCATCCCTGAACCTAACACCTGCTAGAAGACTGGGGAATGAATTCCAGAGAGAGGTCTTACCTTCAGCGTGTCAAAATCCTTCTCCAGGTAGGAACCACACTTTTCCCTCTCCCCAATAGAGGCAAAAAATTTGCTCCACCAGTCAATGAACTCCTCCTCCTGAGCAAAGAGAAGGAAGGAGAGGGTTTAGGAGTCCATCAGCTAATTGAAGCCTTCTGAATTTTAAGACTTCAGGCTGACCTGGATCCCAAGGTTTGCCTATAAGTTATTAAGAGACATGGAAAATAGGGAGCCAGAAACCTCTGCCTCTTTGGGGCAAAGGCCGTGCAGACTGGGGAAGCTTGCAACACCTGAATGTTGCTGAGCAACTGAGGCTCGGGTCTGCCTCCATCCCCATTCCTGTGTTCCCATCAGGCACTCAGGCCTGTCTTGTCTTTCTGTGAAGCAGGAATAACCACAGTAGCATGCAGCATCCCAGGAATAAATTGGCTGAGGTCCAAGGAGTATGCAGAGTTCTCTGCCCAGAGCATGTCAAGAATGTATTGCCTAAGAGTGTGGTAAGGTAGAGAGCCTCTCAAGGACCCAGCCCATCCCTCTGCCTTCTGAACTGGGAATCAGAATGTAGACTTCTCAAGGTGGAATCAAGGTAGGGTCCCTAAGGATCAACAAGCATTTGTTAATTGACTTTTATTCAAAAGATGCTGCTAACTGAAGGGACCTAGCTGAGCGGAAAATATGGAAGGGGACCACTGCCTGCCCCACAAACCTCCCTCCACACCTTCCAGCTCAGCTCTTCCCTCAGCCCTTCCCCAGCTGTGTCCTAGATAATGTGCTACAGAACCAGCAAGCTCCCTGAAGGGTCTGCCCCAGAAGCCTACTCAGGGCAGGGCCTTCAGGCTGAGGCCTCTCTATATCACTGAAACCCAGCCAATCTAGTGAGAAGGGCCAAGAGCAAGATGCCTATAGATAGCATTCTGAAACCACAACTGAAGGCTGAGTAGGACACCTCCCAGAAGCTGCATCAGTCTACAAAGTGAACGGAGTATCTGTCCTAAGCATAAACATGCTTAATCCTCCTCAAAGCCAAACCCTTTGAGTTCCCACTTTTGAATGAAACTAGGCCAAGGGATCCAAGGAGGCAGTGAGGGTAACAAAGGTGCCCAGAGTTCCTGTCCATCCTCAAAGTGTAGTCCTAGCATCCCCAGAACCCCCCAAAAGCAGAGAATGAGTGTCAGCATGAGGCTGTCACTTACCCGGAGGATCTTCTGCAGCCACAAAAGAAAAATCAGGTTCAGATGGGTTAAAGTGCAAGGAGGTGGAGCTTCTGGACTGAACAGTGCTCCAGAAGATACCAGCACAGAGCCATGCAAAGAACTGCTGTAGTGAAGATGTTCGAGGAACACAAAGACCAGCACACAGGAGACAATATTTACATAGTCATATCTAAGGGGAATTAATGTGCCAAATCATCCATGTACTTGTACTCCCATAGAAAACACATAGTACATACAGGAACAGGGAGACAAGCACACAGACTTAGGCTAGAAAGGAACCCTGCTCAGCTGTTTGGCTCTTCCTGAAGCTTATTTCCCTTTGCAGTCCAGGTATTTAAAATTTTGACTTGTTAAGACAGGCAGCTAACCAGCATATTTGACACAAAGAAAAGACAGAAACATGAGAGAGAGAAGCTTAGAGAACAATACCATCAACAGTGGCACCCAAATAGACAGGCTTCTTGAAAAACTGAAAACAGGAAGTTTACCTTTATTTCTGGCACCCTTGGAGCACTTAGGGGGAAAAGAGCCAAAAGCAAATCTCAATAAAAACTAAGAAATAAACTCATGGTGGTCACCTCTCTGACCACTCAATAAAACTTAAAATTAATAAGAAACAATAAAATGAAAATCCCAGGCTGTTAGACATTTAAAGACATGTTCTTAAAACCCCACTGAGTCAGAGAAAACCAGAACTAGATTCAAGACACCCAGGTTGCAGATAGACCCATAGGCATAGAAAAACTCAGTCTGAAATGCTCTCAATTTTGTACAGAAAGAATGAAAATAAATAACCTGATAATTTATGAGATCAGAAAAAGCAAAACAAATTAAGTAAAACATAAAATGTAAAGTAAACCTATAAGGAAATAAACAAACAGAGGGCAGAATATTACAATTGATAATTAACACCCTCAAGAAAGAGATAAATACCAAACTAGTTTCAAAGAGTGGATATATCAGCAACAGGAAAGATGAAATAAAAAGACATTATGTGGAAGAATAAAATAGGCCTAAATTCATGACAAAATCCTGGAAAATCCAGAAGAACTAGGAGATTTTCTAGAAAAACACGAATGCCAACATCAATGCAAAAATAATAAAAAACAAGAAGAGATTGCTGGCCTTGAAAGTGAAAGCCGTTTCAAGAAGTACCTGCCAAGGGAGCTATCAAGCCAGGAGGCTTTTTGTTTGGAAGAAAGTTCTACAAGTCTTTAAAAGAATAAATTATACTTTGGTGCACAGTACAGAAGAAAAAAAAGATGAAAAAATTTCCCATTCATTTTAGGAAACAAAGCCTGACAAAGAAATACAGAGGAGGGAAGGAGGAGGGGGAATATGTATAACTCCCACTCCTGAATACAGACACAAAGATTCCAAATGAGCAGGTTGCAGCAGCAGACCTGGTGAGATCCAACTGGGTCACTGTACAACATGAAAATGTCTCATTAGAGATAGCTAAGAATCATGGGCCAGGTAAACTGGTGCACACCTGTAATCCCAGCACTCTAGAAGCTGAGGCAGGAGCATTTCCACCAGTGTGATGTTAGCCTGTGCTACATGGGACGCTGGACTCAAGAGAAAAAAGCAGTTTGAGGAGTGGAGAGATGGTCCAAAAGCTAAGAGCACTTGCCACTCTTGCAGAAGACTCAGGTTTGGTTCCCATCACACACAAGCTAGCTTACAACCATTTGTAACTCTAGCTCAGGGGCATCCAACTCCCTCTTCTGACCTCCTCAGGCACTGCAAACATATGGTATATATGCATACATACAGGCAAACTCTCATACACATAAAATAAAAACTATAAATCTTTTAAAAATAGTATAATAAAATGTAAATGTTTTAGTATAAAGAGTAAACACAAAATAAATATAGTGATTGCTTCTGAATGTACAGACTAAGAATATTTTTGTTTATCTGTTCTGTGCTTGATTTTCCATTGAGTAGAAGTATGCCTTACATAGCTTTAAAAAAACTGACTTTTTGCCTTTTAAATGTTTGTTTATTAGTGTGTGTGTGTGTGTGTGTGTGTGTGTGTGAGAGAGAGAGAGAGAGAGAGAGAGAGAGAGAGAGAGAGAGAGAGAAGGGATGGGTGTGTGCAGCATTGTTGAGTTGGTTCTCTCCTCTCATCCATAATCATGGGTTACAGGAACCAAGCTCAGTTTCTCAGGAAAGTGTATCAAGTGCTTGTCCCATTGACCCATCTCACTGCTCCACTCCCAAATAATCCCACTGTTTTTAATTTAGGTAAAGAACAGTAGCATGCTTCAAAAGGTACTACCAAGTATGGGAAGAGATAGAGGGATACTCTCTCAGCCTAGACACACAGGGGAAGGTCTAGGCCCTGCTCCAAATGATATGACAGACTTTGAAGATCCCCATGGAAGGCCTCACCCTCCCTATGGAGCAGAAAGGGGTTGGGGAGAGAGGGGAGCAGGGGAGGGAGAGAGAACTGGGATTGACATGTAAAAGAAGCTTGTTTCTAATTTAAAATTTGTCTAATTACAATTATAAAAAAAAGAATGGGAAGAGAACAATTGGCAGGATGGGAGGAAAATATTTGTAAATCATACATCTGATAAGAAACTGTATCCAAAATGTGTAGAGAACTCACACACAACTCAACAATTTTTAATGCAACTTAAAAGTGGGCAAAGGGGGCTGGAGAGATGGCTTATCAGTTAAGAATTCATACTACTCTTGCAGAGGACCCAGGTTCAAACCCCAGCACCCTCAGAACCACCTGTAACTCCAGTTCCAAGGAATGAATCTGGCACCCTCTTCTGATCTCTGAGGACTCATGTATGCACATGGTGCACATAAACTCACACAGAGATACATAAATAAAACAATAAATCTTTGAAAGTGGCCAATGGCCTTAAGATCAAATTCCTCCAGAGAAGATATGTAGCAGCCAATAAGAAATAAAAATATGATCACTGCCCACCTTGTCACCTGAGACATGCAAACTAAAACCTCAATGAGAAACAGATTACATACTATGGTGGCTGTCCCCAGAGACGCAGGTAACACAGTGTCAGTGGGGTGAGAGAAGCTGGTAAGAACATAAAACATAGTGGTCACTGTGGAACACCCTGGCCATTCTGAAAAGTGACAAGCAATGTGTTTCCTAGAGAAATGGGGATGATCCAAAAATATGTACTTGAAAGTTCTAAGTAGCCTTTTTCATAGTGGCCACCAAGGGGGTGTGACCCAAAAGCATGTTTTCTGAAGTACGTTTATCCACACGGCATTTGGCAACATGCTACAGCTTGTATGAACCCCAAAATCACGCTAAGCCAAAGTCAATCACAAAAGAACACATATTGCATAGTTGCATTTATATGAAATAAGATAAAAAGCAAAGTAGAGCTGGAGATGGTTGGAGGCTACTGAGAGTGGGTACTCTTTCTTGCAGTGAGGACAATATTCTAAAATGGATTGTGGGGATGGCTGCACAACTCTTTAATACACAGGGGCAGGGTAAAGGACTGCCAAACTGTACATTTTAAATAAGGGCTTGTGTTGACACACACATCTCAAAAAACTGTTAGAAAAAAAAGGATAAATGATCAAATACAAGCCTAGAAGCTCACACTAAAGAGTAGTAGGAATCTCAAGGATGTGTTCTAAGCAAGAACTTGGTGCCATGGCACCTGAGAGATGGTTCAGAGTCTGTGGTTGCTTGCTGCACAAGCCAAATTCAATTCCCAGAGCCACATGAAGAACTGATACAGTGGTGGGCATCTGTGAACCCAGCAGTCTTACAGAGATATGGGAAACAGAGCCCAGAATGACTCCAGATGATCATGGGCTACCTAGAGCTCACAGTGAGGCAGAAACAACAGAGATCCTTGATTCAACAAGGTGGAAGGCAAGAAA